TGTCAACAAGACTGTCATTCTAAACAGCTGTTTCCTATACCAGTGAGCTGTGTATTACACAGCTATTATGTGGTACCTGGGCAAATCACAGAACCCTATACCATGTGATTGGCTGTAACCAGTCACAGATCACTAGTAATGTAACCCATTCATGACAGTTCAATTCATTGCTGTTACAATGGCTCCATGTACATGGGACGTTTTGATAACACTGGTAACGTTAGCTGTCTAAAGTCACATTAAAAACTTGAGTTTTTCAGCTTTTTTTAGCGTTTTTCCATTAGCAGCGTTTTTCCACGGGTTTTAGTGTATTTTTTGTTACAAAAAAGAAAATTTTTTTATATTCAAAAAACAGTCCAAAAACGCCGGTTTGCTGCATTTTACCGCGTTTTAGTGTTTTTACAGCTAAAAGACTCCTCTAGAAACCCACTAGTCCTGGGTTTTATTTCCAGCCAAAAAACTTTGCCATTTACAGTCTGTGTGTGCATGGACACATAGGAGAACATGCTGGGGAGTTTAATGGCTGTAGAAAAAAATGTCAAAACCAAAAACAGCAGCTGTAAAAACATCCAGTGTGCATGAGGACTTAGTACAGTGTTATGGATGGACTTTTGTGTTTTTTTTTTCAGCCAGACTAATGCAGGCCATAGACATGTTGAAAATCGGACGATTTTTCGGGCAAAAAAAAAAAATTAAAAAATCGGCCAATTTTTGCACCGTTAGTGGGTTAATTGGTCGGCTGTTGTTAGGGGTTTGGCACATTTTTTTTATCGGTAAAGTTGGAAAAAAAAATCAGCCGATTTTGCCGATCGGCCCATTTCCCGGCAATGATAGGCAAATCGGCCGATCGTTTTTACCGATAAAAAATCTGCGCATGAGCCGTGACCTGCAAGAAGAAGAAAAAGAAGAATTCCAGTCCGCTATTATATTTGACATGAAAAAGTATTGTGGTTGCAACAATGTATCTATTTGTATACAAATAAAACCATCTGTATCCGAAATGGATACATTGTTGCAACCACAATACTTTTACATGTCAAAGATAATAGCGGAGCTCTCTGCAAGGGACATAAGTAATTAAATGCCGGCCGTAGACGGGACGAAAATCGGACGATTTTTTTTACCATTGGTGGTAACGTCGGCCTATTGAACAACTGATTTTTCATTTTTTTTTTTTTTTTTTAAACGGCCGGTTTTCGACCCGTCTATGGCCTGCATAACTATGTAACTGACGAAAGCATGAGAAAAAAAACCGACAAAAAATGGACTTCAAAACGTCAAAAACTCACCATGCCTCTTACTAAGTACCTTAGATTATCTACTTTCCAAAAAAGGGTTAGTACAATAGGATTGATCAGTTATAAAATATACAGTATATATCATAGTTTACTCCTACTGGGATTTTTTTTCCAAAGACAAGAAGCAGAATACATTTTGGCCTATTATAAAAAAGATTTTATTTTTATGTGTTTTATAACAGAAAGTTAAAACTATTGCTTTTTTAAAAAAATGTTTGGTCTTTTTTCATTTATATAATAAAAAAATGAAATACCCAGTGGAGATCAAATACCACCACAAGAAATCTATATTTGTGAAAAAAATGTTATAAATTTAATTTGCGTACAATGTTGCATGACTGTGCAATTGCCAGTTAAAGTAGCATAGGTGTAGGTCATTTATATATCTCCCAAAGCATGGCCGAAAAACTCCCAGAGATGGAATCATCCCATCCTTCCTTGTTGCTAGAATGTCGCTAAGACACTCCCAACCCATTCAAACCCCCTAACATATGCTCTCTCCCCCCATGATAGTAGCTCTGAACTCAGGATACTGAGAAGGAAAAGATAGTGGATCACACATGTGCGGAGGTTTGAGAACGCACTCCTGTGATGGTGGGGGCAAGCATTAATGACTGGGGGTGTCTTAGCAATGTTCTAGCAACAAGGCAGGACAGGATGATGCGATGTCTGGAAGTTTTTCAGTCAGGCTTCAGGGGACACATAAATGTCCCGATACTATAGAAAAAGCATTATCCAATGTTGGTCAAAGCTGCATAGCTAGTTTTTTATCTACAGGTGCCCATTACCTACAGAGACAGTTATTTGGTAAAGGTAAACTAACTCTTTAAAAGAATTAATAATGGTTGCAAACCCCTTGGAAAAATAACTGAACTGTATGGCTTCCTGTGAACATCAATAAGTTTATTACACCTCTCAGCTGGAACTTTGAACCACTCTTCTGTCCCCAACTGCTCTAGGTCTCTCAGACTGCTGTTTTGAGATCTATCCACAAGTGCTCTATGGGATAGAGATCTGGACTCAATGCTGCCCGGCAGCAACTGACCCACCCAGCAAAAAAAATAGACCTCCAAGAAACAATAGATCCCCCAGCAACAATGGACACCCTGCAGCAAAATATCACCCAAGCAACAATAGATCTTCCAGCAGCCAGCATCAATAGAACTTCTAGCAGCCAGCAACAATAGATCATTACGTCAACAGTAAATCCCTCCCACCAACAATTGACCCTACCCCCAGCAACATAAGACTCACCATCAACAATAGATACCCCAGCAACTAGCATCATTATGCCCTCCAGCACCCCTTGCCATTACATACATTTAGTGCTAGAGGTGCCAGAACTGGGTTCCCCCATGTTCCCGCTGAAAAAAGCCCTATATATATTTAGATTGGATACAACAGACAGTACACATTAGTTATGTGTAGTGTTGAAGTTCCCATTTCCTGCAGGTGCTTGCCTGTGCTCCTTCCTACACTACTCACATCTGCCAGATACATTCAGCTTGTGCTGCAGGTGTCTGTGCTACAAAGCTTTTCTACACTGCATCCTCAAAGCCACTGGATACTGTCCTCAGCAGCTGTCTTACAGCACTATAAAAGTTAAATGCACCCTCAGCTACACAGAAAATTGCCCCATATGCCTCCTTCTGCTCCCCCCTCTGTTCATAGACCTCCGCTTACTACAATCCCACTAAGCTTACATCACATTGAATTGGCAAAGAGACCTGCATTTAACTGCTTTACCACCCAGTCACAGAAAGTCCAAACAAAGTGGTTGTAAAGGCTCAAAGTTTTTTACCCTTCATGCATTCTATGCATGAAAGTACATGAAAGTAAAAACCTTTGTGTGCAGCATCCCAACCCCCCCAACCTTATCTGAGCCCCCTCCAATCCAGTGAATGATAGCCTCGGCTCTATGGGGACTCTCCATTCTCATTGGCTGAGAGAGCAGCAGAAGCCCAATCGCTCTCGCTGCTGTCAATCACAGCCAGTGAGCCAATGAGGAGAGAGCAGGGGGAGGGGCCAAGCCTTGGCTGTATGAGTCTTATGGACGCATATAGCAGCGGCTCGGGAGCGAGCACACAACAGTGTCCTCAGGGCAAGCAGCTTTCTCTGGGGGGAGGATCCAGGAGCACTGGCGGGGACCTGAAAAGAAGGGGATCGGGGCAACTGTGTGCAAAACTATTGTACAGAGTAAGTATGACATGTTTATTAGAAAAACTCGCCTTGTCTCGGACACATAGGAAAGCAGAAAAATAGATCTCGTGAACCGTTCAGTGTATAATTTCATAATTCATATCTAATCAATCCTCACACTTGTCTGCATAATAAAATACCCATGGGTGGAATGTCACTTGTGCAGATGGAAAATTATCAGTCAAAATAAGAGTTATGGGAGATTTTGGGTCTAGTTGAAGTATCCACCCAAACCTCCACGCCCTAAGCGGGGTATTGGTCCTTGACTTCAGAGACATCCCCTACTGGGGACTACAAAATAGGCTGTCAAGCCTAAGAGTGGAGTTGAAGACGTCTCCCATTTTAACATCAATACCACCTGGGGAGACCCGTGCCCTTTTGCTCTGAAACTTGGATCTGCTAGTCCTGGGTAGGACTTTGGCAAGTACCTTAACCAATCAATGACAAAATTACAAAAAAAAACAAAACAAAACATACTTCTGCTCATTTTAGACACATTGGTGTTGTTTTACTAAATCTGGTGCAGCCATACATGGTAGCTAATCAGCTTCTAAGTTAAGACAGTTCAGTTCAGCTTTGACAAAAAACAAAACCTGGAAGCTGATTGGTTTCTATGCAGAGCTGCACCAGATTTTGCGCTCTCCAGTTTTAGCAAATCAACCCCATTTTGTTCGGCCAAAAAAACCCACAAAATTATATTTTTTCTATACTTTTGGCCAACAATTGGCGAAGGCATCTAGAAAGCAAAAAAGTGATTGCCAGAAATTGCAAAACAGCTCTAAAACCCAAAAAATGCTTTAGTCCTCAAAAAGGGTAAAATTACCCTGACCTACCCTAAATAGCACCTAAGCTTACATTGGTGTAAGGGCACTCTATGGTACCAAAAAGTATGTATATTAATCTCCCTAAAATCCACCCTAGCCTTTGTACATAGAGCCTCTATGTTTATCCTGCTAAGCCAAATATAATTTACAAGAGGCTTTATAGCACACTAAGGTTCTTCTGTTTAAGAACTGAGTGGCAGACAGGCAATGCCACAGTCATCAGAGGCAGCGGTTCATTTTCAAAAAGAGTCAAACTGTGTGCAACCTAAGCCTAACATTTAATACTTGCCCTCCCGAGGATTTACCCCCCTCCCTGACCAAGCCATTACTTTAACTGACAATTACGCAGTAATGCAATGCTGAACCCAAATGAAATTTACATACTTTTTTCACCACAAATAGAGATTTCTTTCGGTGGTATTTGATCACCTGTGAGGTTTTTATTTTCTGTGCTATAAACAAAAAAACTCTGACAATTTTGAAAAAAAAAAAAAAACCTATATTTTTGACTCTTTGCTATTAACCACCTCCCACCCACCATATAAGGTAATGACAGGCACAAGGCGGTTCTCTCGTTCTGGGAGGACGTGATATGCGCGGCCCCGGGAGCGCGCAGCGTGGCGATTGGTGGTGCGCTGTGTCTCTCGGACACAGCAGATCACCGATCAACGGAAAGAGCCGAAGATGTCAGCTCGGTCATGTGATCAGCTGTGTCCAATCACAGCTGATCACATGTAAATAGGGAAATGCATCGGCCTTTCTCTCCTCACGAGCTGTCACACTGACAGCTCGAGAGAAGAGCTGGTAATCGGCATTCCTCAGAGGGGACATGGGCACTGTTCATCAGTGCCCTGATGATCAGTGTGGCCCCAGAAGTGCCACCTGCCAGTGCTCATCAATGCCACCTGCTAGTGCCCATCAGTGCCTCATCAATGCCACATATCAGTGCCTACCAATGCACATCAATGCCACATATCAGTGCCCATCTGAGATGCCTTTGAGTGCCACCTATCAGTGCCAGTCAGTGCCACCTATCAATGCCGGTGAGTGCCACATATCAGTGCTGCCAATCAGTGCCAGTCAGTGCCGCCTATCAGTGTGCATCAGTGCCGCCTAACAGAGCCAATCAGTGCCACCTATCAGTTCCATATATGAGTGCTGCCTTTCAGTGCCACCTACTAGTGCCTCATCAGTGCCCATCAGTGCCACCTATCAGTGCAGCCTATGAGTGTCCATCACTGCAGCCTCATTAGCACACATCAGTGAATGAGAAAAATCAAAATTTACAAAATTTTATAACAAAAACTAAGAAAATTTTTTTTATTAAATTTTCAGTTCTTGGTTTGTTTAGCAAAAAATAAAAAACCCAAAAGGTGATTAAACACCACCAAAAGAAAGCACTATCTGTCTCAAAAAAATTATAAAAATTTCATATGGATACAGTGTTGCATGACTGCGCAATTCTCATTCAAAGTGTGACAGCGCTGAAAGCTGAAAATTGGCCTGCGCAGGAAGGGGGTATAAGTGCCCTGTAGGCTAGTGGTTAACCGCTTGCCGCCCTGCCACTGTGTATATACGTGTGCAGGGCGGCACTGGGGCGCAAAAGCACGTTTTAAAACGTGCTCCATGCTCCCAACGTTTTCGCGGGCAGGGGGCGCACGCTCGCTCCCGCCGACCCGCGGGTGACACCATTCGATCCTGGAGGGATCAATCATTAGATTTCAGCCAGTGCTGTCTGGCTGAAATCAGATGATCGGTCCCTGTCCTATCCTGTCCTGTGTTGACATTTACACAGGACAGGATATGATGTCATTCTTCTCTGCTGGACACATTCCGTCCCAGACAGAGAAGAAGACACAGTAAACATGAGTAAAACACTACACATTACAGTTAGAACACACCTAGGTCACATTTAACCCCCTGATCGCCCCCCCCCCCCAGTTAAACCCTTCACTGCCCTGTCACCAGTGTCACTGATCAGTGAAGCGATTTTTACTGATCACTGTATCAGTGTCGCTGGCGACTTCCGATAGTGTTAGCGCCCCTCCCAGATAGCGCCAGATTGCCCACCAGTAAATCCCGTTTAACCCCTTGATCGCCGCCGCCCCCACCCCCCAGTTAACCCCTTCACTACCCTGTCACCAGTGTCACTGATCAGTGAACCAATTTTTACTGATCACTCTATCAGTGTCACTGGCGACTTCCGATAGTGTTAGCGCCCCTCCCAGATAGCGCGATTGCCCGCTAGTACACCAGTAACCCATTTAACCCCTTGATCGCCCCCCCCCCCCCCCGAGTTGACCCTTCACTGCCCTGTCACCAGTGTCATTGATCAGTAAACCGATTTTTACTGAGCACTGTATCAGTGTCGCTGGCGACTTCCAATAGTGTTTAGCGCCCCTCCCAGATAGCGCCAGATTGCCCGCTAATACACCAGTAATCCCGTCTAACCCCTTGATCGCCCCCCCCCCCCCGAGTTGACCCTTCACTGCCCTGTCACCAGTGTCATTGATCAGTGAACAGATTTTTACTGATCACTGTATCAGTGTTGCTGGCGACTTCCAATAGTGTTAGCGCCCCTCCCAGATAGCGCCAGTTTGCCCGCCAGTACACCAGTAATCCCATTTAACCCCTTGATCGCCACCCACTCCACCCCCGTTAACCCCTTCACTGCCCTGTCACCAGTGTCATTGATTACAGTGAACAGATTTTTACTGATCACTGTATTAGTGTATTAGTGTTACTGGTGACTTCCGATAGTGTTAGCGCCCCTCCCAGATAGCGCCAGTTTGCTGCTAGTACACAAGTAATCACATTTGACCCCTTGATTGCCAGGAACACGCTTACTTGCACGCTAAACCTCCATTGCTAGTATAGTGTCTGATTGGATCAATATCTTTGATCAGATCAGCGCTATACCAGCGTTCACATTACTATAGTATCCCCAAAAACGCAGCGTTAGCGGAATCAGCCCCGACACCTGCCAGCACCTGCGTTTAGCCCCTACGCCCCCCCCCCCTTCTCCCCCAGCAAGTGCAGTGTCAGTAGATAACTGTCACTTGATACATATTACACACAAAACCGCAGTGTTCACAGAATCAGGCCTGATCTCTGGTAGCACTTGTCGGTAAATTTTTTGTAGCGGTTCAAGCAGTCTCTGACAGCCAGGCGCTCTTTTTCCCGTGAGTCGCACTAGGTACCTGTAAATTTAGTGGCAAAAAGGTCCAAGCAAAGGTACTCTAGTGAAGAGGCCTATAGGATTCTGAGCATGTCAAGTGAGAGCGAAGGGAAGACACACTGGCAGAATCAGGCTCAGAATACGAACCTATAGACAGCAGCGGCATCCTGACAGATCGTTCAAACGATGAGGAAGAGGTCCCTGCTAAGATCAGGTGTACCCGATCCCATTCCCAGGTTGCTGAGGTGGTACAAATGCATGATGACTCTCATATGCAGCAGAGTGCCAGTACTAGTGCCGCACTACCTTTTGGTGAACTGGCGAGCACCAGCGCCTAGTACATCCTGGTCGTATATGTACCAGCACTGCAGTATCAATTGGTGACGTGGCGAGTCCCATAAGTGCAGTACAAGCTGGTGCGGTGGCGAGCACAAGTAGTGTCCCGCAGCCACCAAGAATTCGCAGACAGGCCCGTAGAGCCCCTAGTGTCCTTCCAAATATGCTTGCAAATCCCGATTGGCAGCCCACAAATTCTGCAGCACACTTACTTCCCCCATTCACTGCCCAACCTGGAATTCAGGTTTTTCACAGAAGATCTTTATGCATTGATTGTGGATCAAAGCAATTTATATGCACGACAATACATCGCCGCCAACCCAAATTCATACCTTGCCAGACCATTTGCATGGAAACCCATTACGGTTCTGAATTTAAAGTTTTTTGGGCCTAACCCTCAACATGGGCATTAATAATAAAAATCAATTGCGGTTGTATTGGTCCACAGACCCGCTTGTTCACATGTCCGTGTTCTCTGCTGCCATGCCCAGGCATAGATATGAGACGATAATGCGTTTTATGCACTTCTACGACAACACTCAGTCATCCTCGGGGTGACCCTGAATTTGACCGGCTCCACAAAATTCGGCCCCTCATAAATTACTTTAACCAAAAATTTGCAGATGTGTATACTCCCCATAAAAACATCTGCATCGATGAGTCCCTCATTCAATATGCTGGCCGCCTTCTAATCAAACAATATCTCCCAGCAAGCGTGCCAGATATGGGATCAAGATGTGTAAGAGCTGTGAGAGGGCAACAGGCTATACTTGTAAGTTTCGGATTTATGAAAGAAATGATAGTCACTTGGAGCCCCCCGGATGCCCAGACTACATGGGGAGCAGTGGCAAGATAGTTTGGGACTTGGCGTCATCCTTTTTCCATATGGGGTACCACTTATACGTGGACAATTTTTATTCAAGCGTGCCACTATTTAGACATTTGTTCAATCTGGGAATTTGCGCATGTGGCACTGTGCGATCTAATCGCCGGGCTTCCCCCAACGGCTTGTAAATACCCGTCTTAAAGAGGGGGAAAAGCCTGCTTGAGAAATGAAAGAATTGCTCGCAGTGAAGTGGAAGGACAAATGGGATGTTTACCTCCTGTCTTCCATTCACGCAGATACAACCGTCCAAATTTACCACGGCAGCTGGTGTTGTTGAGAAGCCCCTCTGTGTCCACGATTATAACCTTAACATGGGAAGGGTGGACTTCAACGACCAGATGATGAAGCCGTACTTAGTTTCCCGAAAAGCCAAACGCTGGTACATAAAAGTGTCAGTTTATTTATTTCAATTGGCTGTATATAACGCTTTTGTTCTCTATAAAGCAACTGAACATAGTGGATCATACCTAAATTTCCAGTTAGAGATCAACAGGGCCCTTTTGTATCCAGAAGGTGCTGCGCCCCAAACCCCTATCCCAGATGCAGTTAGCCGTCTGCATGAGAGACATTTTCCCGATACCATTCCTGGTACCCCAACGCAAAGAAGAACCCAAAAAAGATGTCGTGTCTGCAGCAAACGTGGAATTAGGCATGACAGCCGCTATTGTTGTCCTTCCTGTCCTGGCCAACCTGGCCTCTGCGTCAAGCCCTGCTTCCGCCTCTACCATACACTAGTTGACTATTAGTATAGGGTACAGCACGGCACAGATCAGGGCACATTTGTACAGGGTCTCGAAAGATGTTAGGTAGTCAGGAAACTGGCTATCGCATTTGGAGAGACCCTACCAGCTGTTTTAAAAATGTTTAAAGTTTGAAAAAAAAAAAGTAAAAAGAAAGTTTAAAAAAAAAAAATTAAAAATACAAATCCCCCCCCAAAAAAAATAAAAAAATTTAAAAACCAAAAATAGTTATAGTTTTTTTTTGTTGTTGTCATTTTTGTGATTGTTCTACTTTTACTGTTTTATATTGTTACTCATTTCTGTTTGCAGGAATGCTTTCAGCTGCAGCACTGACCTGTTTATTCTGACAGCAACAGGAACTTGCTCTCAGAATAGACATAAGTCAGCGTGGGCAGCGCTGTTGGATGAGATTTTTCATCGGCAGTTAAAAAAAAAAAAAAGAGAATATATGCCAAAGCATGGGGGCCTGGGGTGGCCAGCCCCTATGCTTCGGCATATATATTTTATATTTGTTGGCACATTTCATCTGTGCCCACCATTAGAAGTGGGTGGATGCAGGGAGGTTTCTAATGGTGGGCATACCACACACTTTTTCTGGCAGAGATTTCTTCCCTTTTTTTTCATTCAGCCCACAGGCTGCATAAAGAAAAAAAGAACATAGCATATACACTCAACAAGGACCAGCGACGTACTGGTACATCACTGGACTTTGAATGGTTATACCAGGGTGATGCCTGCAGCTGCAGGCATCATCCTGGTATCATTTTTTTTCAGCCAGAAATGGGCTTTCATGTAAAAGCATTCCTAGTGGTTAATTAGCTGCAGGATTGCCTTTACAAGCAGCGGGAGAAAATGCCCCCCCTCCCTGAGATAGCATTAAAAGTGATTAAAAAAAAAAAAATTAAAGGGACAGTGTAAAAATAATTAAATAAATCAGAAAAAAAGGAAAAAAAAGGACCCTCGCCCATCCGCGCACACCTGCGGTCGTGAGCGTTGACCCTGTGCCAGTATAGAAACAGCAATTGCCCCATGCATGTGAAGTATCGCCATGACCGTCAGATCAAGGGCAGTAATTATAGCTCTAGACCTCCTCTGTAAATCTAAAATGGTAGCTTGTAAAGACTTTTAAAGCGTTGCCTATAGATATTAAAAATGTATGCAGTTTGTCGCCATTGCACAGGGCATGCGTAATTTTAAAGCATGTCATGTTTGGTATCTATTTACTCAGCATAGCATCATCT